GCGGCGGCGGCCCCCGCCGTCGCCGCCGGAGGACCGCGCGCTCCGCGCGGGCGCGCGTGGCCGTGCGGAGGCGAAGTGTCAGTTCGCTTCCGTTGCGCGCAGCACAACAGCAAGTGCAGCACAATTTTTGGATTCGCGGGTCGAGGGCGCACCTCTTCCGGTCGAAGCTGAGCGGGCCGCGCGAAGCTTGAATTAACCGAGGGGGGGACAGAAGGAGCGCGGCCTCACGGCAAGGCCGGGAGGAGGCAAAGCCTCGGGATCAGGCGGTGCCGAAAACGACGTGCTTGCAAAGGAACGCCTTGCACACAGCAAGTGCAACACAAGCAGTGGACGACCCCAGACTATCGCCCCGCCCGAAGGTGCGGTGCGATGGCGCAAAGACCTTAAACAGTTTATGTTTGTCGTTTTGTTTTCTCTCCTTAACTGATGCGAAGCTTCCTGTCAAGCGGACGAGAACGCAGTGAACTCTGTTTTGTGGAAGCGGGTTGGGCGCCTGCAAGGGAGCGGGGCTCGTCAAGCAAAAACTGGCGTCTCCTGTTTTTGATGCCGGTGTGGTCGGCGCTACTTCAATGCGGGCACGAGATATTCGACCCAGACGCAGTGGTGTCAAAAAGCCGGCAACAGCCTCACAGCATTGAGGAACGCGTTTGCTGACAAGTGTCCGAATTATCGAATGCCGCGATTTCAAATGGCGTGTAACTTTATTGTTGACGAGGCTTGTAGGATTTCAAAATCGCGAGTCCACTTTACGGTTGCGTCCTGGCGATGCTAATTCGCGCCAGAACACCGTTCGTGGGACCTCAACAATGCGAGCCCGTGAAACTGCTGAAAGCGTGTAAGACGAATGCGCGCGGCGCTAAGGCGAGAGCCACATTTGAAACATGAGCCGCGGTCCGTCTTTCAGTTTGTTGCACACGCTTGAGACGAATGTGCGCGGCGCTAAGGCGAGAGCCACAGCTTGAAAACCAGCAGCCCTCCATCCTTGAACCTACTGCAAACGTTTAAGACGAATGTGCGCGGCACGATTGCGAGATCCACATGTTGAAAACGGCCCGCCCTCCATCCTCCCTCCTCCCTCCTCCCTCCTCCTCCTCCTCCTCCTCCTCCTCCTCCTCCCCCTCCTCCTCCTCATCATCATCATCATCATCCTTGTAGCCGGTGCAAATGTCAAGTTTCAGGATCTTCGTTGGCAAAGACTCGGGCGAAACGCCTGGCCCGCCCTGCCGGCGCGCCTGGGGGTGCGACAGGGAAGGTTTATCTGCGAGGAGAAGGGACGGAGGAGAAGGGACGGAGGAGGAGGAGGAGGAGGAGGAGGAGGAGGAGGAGGAGGAGGAGGAGGAGGAGGAGGAGGGGGAAGGGGGAGGGGGAGTGGAGAGGGGGAGGAGGGGGAGGAGGAGGAGGGGGGGGAGGGGAGGAGGAGGAAGGAGGAGGAAGGAGGAGGAGGAGAGGAGAGACGGGGATGAGAAGGAGGAGGAGGACGAGAAGGAGGAGGAGGAATTGAAGGAGGAGGAGGAGGAATAATAATAATACTAATACTAATACTAATACTAATACTAATACCAATATTAATACTACTACGAATACTAATACTAATACTAATACTAATACTAATACTAATACTAATACTACTACTACTACTACTAATAATAATAATAATAACAACAATAATAATAATAATATTATCAATAAGAATAGTAATATTAATAATACGAATAATAATAATAATAATAGTAATATTAATACTACTAATAATACTAATACTAATACGAATACTAATAATAATAATAATAATAATCATAATAATAATTATAATACTAATAATAATACTAATGGTATTAATAATAATAAGAAAAAGAAATAAGACTAAGAATAATGATAATAAGAAGAATAAGAAAAATACCAATAAGAAAAAGAGCAGGAGGAGGAGGAACGGCGGGGGGAGGACGGAGCGGGGGGGGGCCAGGAGGACGGAAAAACGGACGAGGAGGACGGATGAGAGGACGAGGAGGACGATGAGAAGGGATGGCAGTAAGAGGGGGGGGGGCTCGACCGAGCGAGCAGTCGAGAGGCAGGCGGGCCCGAGGCCGCGGGCCCCTCCCCCCCCTCCGCGGGCCTCGCGCGGCTTCGCGCGGGCGGGGGCCTCGGGGCCGTCGCGGCAAATCGAGCTCCTCATCCTCCTCCTCCTCCTTCCTCCCCTCCTCCTCCCTCCTCCCTCCCCTCCCCCCTCTCCCCCCTCCCTCCCTCCCTCCCTCCCTCCCTCCCTCCCTCCTCCCTCCCTCCCTCCCTCCCCTCCCTCCTCCCTCCCCTCCCTCCCTCCCTCCCCCTCCCTCCCTGCCTTCCCCACCTGCCTCCCCCTCTCCCCTCCTCCCCTCCTCCCCTCCTCCTCCCTCCTCCCTCCTCCCTCCTCCCTCCTCCCCCCCCCTCCCTCCTCCTCCTCCCTCCTCCTCCCCTCCTCCTCCTCCTCCCTCCTCCTCTCCTCCTCCCCTCCTCGGCCGCCGTC